TATACATATACATATATATATACGGCTCTCACACTGAAGGAGAGCTAATGGGAGCTTAATCTAATGGCTGATTTCATCTTTTCTAAAATGTAACAAAAATGAATTACGTAAACCTAGGTCTTACAATTGGTCATGATTTAGCTATGTCATTCCTTTGGATCTCTATCTGTACCTTACCGTTAGAATATTTTCCAATTTGTCCCTTTTTGATTGCATACTTGCTAGATTATCTTCAACGCTGTTTTTCTTCCTCATTTTTGTCTTACCTACAGTGCGGTGTGGTTCAACATTGCTGATTAAGGCTCTTGAAGCGAACGGCAAATTGCACACTTTGTCAGAGTCTGACTTGTACGCCAACTTTGGTCGGTACGTCCTGTCGAATAAGGAAATGCCTGAAGATGAAATGGAGATGCTTTTGGACGTCATCAAACATACAAACACTCTCTTCAACTACACTCTACTCCAGGAGGACCCTTCTAAAACAACGATCTGTTACAAAATGCGGGGACAGGTCAGTAAATTACTACCTAAGACGTACCCATACGCCTAATATTATCACAACCCATTCATGCATTTTAGCAATGTCTATTACAAAAAAGACACTCCAAAAGACCAAAAATACAAAGCTAGTAAATTGAAACTGATTATCATTATCAACAACATTTTTCTTTACCAATATTGTAGTAAAGAACGTAGATAAAGGTTTCTTTGACCATTGCCAGTGTAAACTGTCAGTGTATAAATTTTGGTTGCTAAAAAGCTTTACTAACAAATAAATTTCCAATTGCATCCAGATTTTGCCGGTAGCAGATCTCCTCCAGAGGGCCTTGCCAAAGGTTAAGAACATATTTCTGTACCGGGACCTTTTGGGGACTGTGGACTCGTACGCCCATGTGATGGCCGGAGGTCGTTACTGGAAGTACTGGCTCCAAACGTCTCTCAAGCTAGATTCTTTTTACATTAACAATTTTAACGATTTGCTTGTCTCTCCCCTGCGGGACAAACCTGTTTTTGCGTCTATCACTGTCCCACATGGTATTGTGTGGTTCTCGGTATGTGCTTGGCTCTAGTTGATGCAAAAGGCTCACGAGCTAACAAAACAAGATCAAAACCATTTTTTCAATGTTATCTTGAGGTACGAGGAGCTGTGTAAGTACAAGGAGGAGATGGTCATAAAAGCCATGGATTGTCTCGGTATGAAATGTGTTGACGAAGATGCGAAGGTGAAGATACGGGAGGTGTTTGGAGTAAACAGTCAGGCTGGGCATTCTCTCGGCAGTAGGGGGGCAGGCGGGGGAGAATGCTGGGTTGGAGAATGGGAGGTGGGGATCATTTCAAAGATTCTAGATCATTGCAGCATGGGGATTTGCACACCCAATTTTGTACTCGATGGGACTCTTACTCAGATTTGATAACATACAAGTGCTAACTAGTCTTTTGCGGACGTTAGACACAGTATTAAGTCTATAATTTTACAAACATTGTATGTTTGTAGACTAATTAACGTGTCTAACAACATGTATTGAGATTAGTCTAACGGCCTTTAAACTAGAACAGAAATTAGATAGACAGGGAATCATTAAAATTATTGTTGTATTGAATGTGGAGGTGTATTTTAATACATGTAAGTTTAAATACTATAATTTGGAACTGCATTAGAATTTTCAAATTTACCTGCATTATGCATCTATATATAGAGCCTGACTGAGAAGTGTGATATAGGTAGCATATGGAAAATTTAATTAGCGTAAATAAAGATATTTAGCAAAAATCGAAAGCAGAAATTAATATAATTAAGGTATGTTATAACCTACATGTACTTTAACATTCTTGTATTAATTACTACCACATTACTACACATGTAAGATGATGTGATCTATATAATAAGATTACTAGAAAGCGAGAGGAAGTTGAAAGTACTTGTGTACTATAGCAATTTTATTTTTTATGAACATTGATGTACTTTGTCAATATGTGACCTGTCTTTAGCCCAGTGGGGCAAAATGTACAATAAAGGTCTTCATTCATTCTTATATAATAAACTGTGAATAGACTGGGCTACTAGGCTTCCATCATTGGAATGTGTTGATGATATTTGTGAAAATATTTAATTGGTCATTACTGGTGTTCTTGCTTATGGATATCATTAATTTAAATAGGTTTTTGGCAGATAGGTGATGGCTACCGATGGATGCCGATATTTCATTCAATTTTTTTTCTTTATTTATACTCTATGAAAAAAATCAAACGACCGTGCAGTGACAGAACAAGCTTTTAGGGAGGTGAAACCTACACCACTTTTTTCCTTCCATAATAAATCGTTCGCCACAAAAAAAAAATCATAACTTGTGGGAAAGAAATCTACTAAAGTAACAGGGACCAGAGGCCTTCATACATACCAAATTTAACTAGGAAGGCCGACATTTGCTTTGGAGCAAATACAGCGATGGCTTCACCACATTTTACGACATGGCAGGGAAAGAATGAGAAACACAAGGGAAAACAATGCTTTACATTGATATAACTATAGTATGAAGTAACATACAACTAAGACTACAACAGTTGGATAGCTATTCCCTACATTATTGGTTAGGATTGCATAATGCAAACTGTTGATTTTCAAGATAAAAAGAAGCGTTCATAGCCCGCATTCCAATGCTGGAGCAGGAAAGCTTAAAATACCTACCAAAACACTTGAATACAGACATACTGTCAGTATGGCATGGCTCTGTGCAGGTGTAAATGAAGTTAAGCCAGTTAAATCCCAACAGCCAATCAGCAAGGAGAATAGAGGAAAGCTGCATGCCTATTGGTTGATGCCTTGCATGCCATTGTGATGACTCATGCCCAAATGTGGTAAACACTGCACACTTACACAGTAATACATTAGCTATTACACAGCCAAAACACTTAAATAAAACCATTCTAAAAGCCTGTATCACAAAAATAAAAAAAACGCCTGGGGGTATTTGCCTACTGTACCTCCATACCAAATTTCAGGTCCTTAGGCCCCAAAATGAAGAAGCTGAATCCATTTAAAGAAATGGCAGGAGAAGAAGGAGGAGAAGAAGAAACATCAGCAAAAACAATATGGTTTCACCACTTTGTGGTGAACCCATAATAATAACAACCCATCCCTATGAAACCTCATGCTAGCCTCAAATAAACATTGGGAAACACATGATATATAGTAACGTTGATGCCCCACCTTATCCTCGGTGTATATGGTTAGATAATTACTAGTCAGATGCGATAGCCACTTCATAAATCATTGCGTTTGCTACGGACACTCGATGGTTCATTCGGTAATTATCGCAACTGACCAGAGATCATCTTATCATATACACCTAGTACCTCGAGGCAGGGCATTAACCCTTATTAATACCCCCCCCCATTCCATAAAGATAGCAATTATACATCTACTTTTCATGCATGTAACTAACGTGGTATCGCGCAGAACTGAAACGGATGTGGCCTCAGCGCTATCGTAAAATAGCCGTCAGTGGCTGGAGGAGGAGCGCCCTCTGGCGGCTTGAATGTGAAGGACTGCAGCAGGGTCGAGAAGAACAGGAACAGCTCCATCCTGGCCAGCTGCTCACCGAGACACACACGGCGGCCTGGGAATAAAGAATGACAAGAATTAAGACAAGCTACAAAGTGACTTTGTAATCATTGTTGTGGCTCAAGGTTAATAATCAACGTGAAATAAAGCCTGATAATTTACCTCCTGAAAAAGGCATAAAAGAGTCAGGCTTGTTGATGACGTTTCCTTCCACGTCCAGAAACCTTCCGGGGTCAAACCGGCCCGGATCATGCCAGTAGGCGGGGTCCATGTGGAGGGAGTACAGGTTAGGTAGGACCTGGATCAATGAGGAAACGTGAGGTATCTAGAAAGGCCAACATTTGCTTTGGAGCAAATGTAGCGGATGGCTTCACCACATTTAACGACATAACAGGGAATGAAGAGGAAACTCGAGGGAAAACAATTCTTTACATTGATTTAAGTATACTATTAGTATGAAGCTATCCCCTACATACCTTTTTTAAAGAACTTAACGAAAGCCATCTTACTTGAGTGCCTTTAGGGATGTCAAACCCCATAACCTTGACGTCTTGCGTGGTCGCGTGGGGATTTGAGAAGGGAAGAAGAGGACGGATCCTCATGACCTCCAGCAGACAGGCGTTCACGTAGGGCAGCTGGGAACGGTGGGACAGGGCGGGCAGACCCTCACCAACAACGGCATCAAGCTCCTGCTGCACCTGTTTGGGCATACATAACTAATTACTTTAAGACATCCAGTACAATTTGAAGCCAGTAAAGCAAAATATTAGGGCATATCATGTAATTTCAGGGCAGAAAAACAAGGAAAGATCAGTTAAATACATAACATTAACGGTGCATTAGAAGTATCAGAATAATTAAGAGTGGGTGAGGATACATCTTAATCACTAGGATGAATGGGAGTGTACAATGGTGCATCAGAGTCAGTAGGATGAATTAGAGTGCATCAGATTCAGTAGGATGAATAAGAGTGCCCAAGAGTGAATCAGAATTAGTAGGCTGAATAAGAGTGTACAATGGTTCATCAGAATCAGTAGGGTTATTGAGAGTGTACAATGGTGCATCAGAATCAGTAGGATGAATAGGAGTACACAATGGCGCATCAAAATCAGTAGGATTAAAGAGAGTGTACAATGGTTCATCTGAATCAGTAGAATCAACTATAATAAAAAAAGGTCGGTCAGAATCATTAGGATGGATGTATGAGAATCAGTCAGAAAAAATGATAGTGCAAATTGATACATATCTAAATACATGAAAGCATAAACGAGATGGCGATAGTCACGTTTCAGGGGTAGATAGGCGGTGAGTACCTTATGTTGGATGTCGGGGTTCACAGTCATAAAGAGCAAACTCCAGAGCAGGGTGATGGTGGTAGTGTCCATACCCGCTATGAAGAGGTTCTGAGTCATGTACAAGACGTTCTCCTCTGTCAGACCGTCCACCTTCTCCTGCAGTTCCAGCTCCAGCAGACAGAGGTCGAGGAAGTCTCGCGGATTCTCGCGATCCAGGGTCTCGCGATGTCGGGCTATCTCTTCCCATATCTGTCGATATATCTTTGAGTTTTGTTTTAACACTTCCTTATAGGTTCTGTTTACTGAGAAAAAGAGCATGCAAAGAGACATTTTATTAGATCATTTAACTTCAGGTATCTTGTAAAATGTAGTATCAAAACAATAGCATCAAAAAGGGCGATATGTTCTCTGGTCGAATAAATAAATAAACAAACAAACAAACAATCAAACAGTCTATAACCAAAAACGAAATGTTGTCATTTTGTCCGATTTGACAACCAATATTAGCTAAACTTGCCCAAGCGACGCCGATGGCCTATATAAGCTTGAAATCTGGAGAAAAACGACCGCATCTAAGCGAACTTGTCCAAATAGACCGCGACCAGCAAAATTTGTGAACATACATGGCCCGATTTCTGCTTTAATCTTTCTCAAGCATGAGGGAACGATAAATATCAAGAGATAAAGAAACTTAAGATAAAATCTTAATAAAACCAGGCTAAAATCGAGAAGACGTAAAGGCAGCCTTTGCACCTAAAGTAACATCGTGCCGGCTTCTTATTGAAACAGTTCGTGGCACAGACTATTATTTCGATAAAGGAAATTGAAAATATAAAATATATTGTTAACATCTAATGATTATTAAGCTGTTTAAAATCCTATACTTGGTGTTTAGACCTTGAGGTAGCCCGCCACAAAAATTTTCAATTTAGTATTTCTTTTGGCAGATCGTGTTTCTGTTTGACCAAAACAAACATTTCTGGCCTATGACCATCAAACAGCATCAGACAACAGGAAAACAGACCAAAGTTTGGAGCTTTACCGGCAGCTCAATCTTCTTAATCTTTAGGCCTGCGAGTAATAGTGGCTTTTGCCCCTAACACGCACTCGTGATGAGCAAAGGTCCTTGATTACGTTTCAAACTGGTGGCCGTATTTAAAAAAAAAAGTCTGCGAATGACGTAACGGTTGGGGTGACGTAGTGAGTGACCGAAATCATAATTTTTCAAACGATCTTTTCACCAGTAAGATGTAAAAAAGTTTACCAAAAGACTTCACTCAGAAGGTTGTCAAGTTGACAACCTTTTGGGTGAGAACTATTTTGGTGAACATTTTGCAACTTAATGGCGCATGGCATAGTGTAGGGTTTAAACAATGTTTTTGAAAAAAAAAATTACACATGGCCTTGTTACTGGCTGCGTCTTTGGTACTTCATTCATTCTGCTGGTGGCTTAGAATTTCCCTGGAACAAGAGATCAAAGTTGATCCACATTGAGAAAACCAGCAATGGTTTGTACATCACTGTCGCAAAATATATTTGAAGCTGATCGATATTCATGACCGAAAACTTTAAAGGGTAAGACATTTAATCATTTTCGCCTGTTTTCACACGTTCCAATGCAGAAGACTTACTGTAGGGTCTCCATTCTATTTTACAAGGTAAATGAATTTCACTCACTTTTAGGAATGAACCTTAACAAAGGGAAGACGCTGATGATTTGTCCCGCTCCAAGTTCGTCGATGACGCCCACTACCGCCTCTGCGAGCTCGCGGAACTCTTCATCCTCGTAGTCGTAACGCTTCCCGAACACCATGAAGCAGCTGACGTTTGCCACAGCCACGCAAAGATCGTTTGATACGTCAAATGGCCTTTCCTCATATTCTGTCATCTGAAGTTTGGGCATAGACATTTTTGTCAATTGATTGATTAAGAATGTAAAGCACCACACAGCGCAAAACCGACTATAGACAAGCTTTATTAATTTCTCTGAATTCCAGTTCAAAAAACAGAGGGAAGGACAGAGAGAAAGAGACTGAGACTGACTGTACCCTCTTGCGCAGAGAGTTTGCTTCCTCTCGGATGTTCTCCTGGATGCTGCCGGTTCCAACCTTCATGCCGAGGTGCTTTAAGGCGGCGAGAGCAAACCTCTTTCTCTGTTTAAACTCAGTCCCCCATCGTGCAGAAGCAATGTCTGGAGATTAAAAAAGGAACACTATTCCCATCTATACTGTAAGGTACACTCTGCATGAGATTTGATGATGACTATCGTACATCAAAATCAAAAACAATGTAGATTTCCGTGCATTATTTTATGTTTATAGTATAAAATGCACACTTGGCTCGAGTTAAACTAGGAGAGGCGGCACGTCCAAAAGGCTACAGAAAGACCACAAAGTGAGCCCAGACGTCTACAAATTTCACTGAAGAGATAACAGTTATCTAGTTCTAATGTCTATTAAAAAAATATATCGATCTAGTATCCCATCTATGCATAAAAGTATTGACAATCTTTAAATTCACATTTTTGGTGTTCAAATCCAGCATTAGAATTTGGGTAAGGGCTTCAGGTTTGAAATGAAGGTTCACGTGTTTTAGAGTGCTTATTTATGAATGTTTTGATCGACTGTAATGTATCAATGTAATGATTGAACGTATGCTGCCTTCATCATCGATAGCGCAAGTCGCTTTTAGAGCTGAGAAATGAATAGAAAGGTTGAAAATCGCGAGAAAAATCGACACAGAAACGAGCCATTTACGGGCCGACTCGACTTTGACCGACGAAATCAAACCCTCTAAGTACGTAGAGTGGATGTAAAGTTTACATATTACACATTACAAGGTGACTGAATCGTGCGCTAGCTTGGTTGCATCATCTTAGTAAGTCTGTTTAAAACTCCAGTTTAAAGATTTAAATAAACATATATTTCTCTTTCTCTCACACTTCTCTTAAATTACTTTGTCTGTCTCTCTATGTTTGCAGTCATTGCTGCATCTTAATCCATATTCCAGCTTACAAGAAAGTTAAAATATATTTTTTGTTAATTCTTACCCTAAAAAATCAGCCTCAATAAGCACATTGAATGGCTTATTACGTATACAATATTTATGCATTTTCTAATGCAATGTGGTGGGATGGAAGTAAGGTTCGATCAAAATTCGTTCAATCAATGGACGGACTGTGGTGTGGCCTTTCTGCTATTCCTACAGTCCTTTTGTGGTCTCATATGCTTTAATCGCTAAAAATTGTGCCTAGAGGACAATACAGTGATCTATATCAGGCACAGAATTCTCTTGGAGGATCGTTTATTATACAGTCGTGACGGTATCCACCTGAGACATGACGAAGGTGTCAGGTAAATGGCGTCTCGAGCGCACCATAAGAACCTCGGACCACACGAGACAGCGCCAAAACGAGCTAGGAAAACACAGCGTATGCAAAACATCTAGTTGAACCGTTACATGTTGCCCTGCCATCAACACTAACTCTTCAGGAAAACGCCACGAAACCCAACCAACCGGAACCCAAGGAACCCAGCACGACCACCAAGCCGTCAGCCGTCAGAGTCTCCTGGACAGGCCAAGTTATCCAGCCATAGACTATCACATCCTTAATAAAGTCAATGATAAAAACAACATCTATATCCTTACCACGCCTTTACCAATTTCATCATACCCTTCACACATCGTTTTAGACATAGTTATAGTTCCGTAAATAATTTCATCAGGTTGGAAGATACTTGGGGTATAGAATTTTCTTCTTACACAACCAGTAAGGTTCTCAACTGCTTACGTTTCGATGTCTACCAGACACCTTCCTCAGAGCTTCTGACTGGAGTTCTTCAACTCGCCGCTATTGAACGCCAAAGTAGGTGCAAAAGCTGTGATCAAGTGTATATTGGAGAAACTGGCAGGACCTTTGGCAAAAGACTGGAAGAACACAGAAAAGAGGCAGACAACAGCGAAACCGTAAGATATACACACTCCCAGAAACAACAAGCACAAAAAGAAGAGAAGAAATCGGCAGTCACAGACCATGTTGCCAGAAACAATTGTGTGATAGACTGGGAGGGAGCCAGGGTCATAGATAGAAAGGACAACAGAAGAATCCGTTGGATTAAAGAAGCAGTCTGGATAAGGAAGTCTACCCAAGTGATGAACCGGGACGAGACTGCCACGTACATGTTTTTTTTTTATTCAGCATACAGCAAACAAAATAAGGGTACAGGACAAAGTGACGACGGGCTCAAGTTGGGTAACTTATGTTAGCGCCGCCACTTAAATGAATAAAACTAATACTATAAAACAATGCAAAACACTAACCAAGAATACATGTAAAAGAACAGCACAAACAATCGAATTGATGCACATTAAATGAAGCGAGAGTCCACATTCCCCACCCAAAAGATGTAAAGGACACAAATAGAATTAAAAACGTTTTGTTGCTAAAATGTAATTTTGGGCGGTTGAAAAGAATAAACCGGGGAACCGTTCAAAAGTAAATGTTGTCTCGCTCTATCTGAAAGAGTATGTAAGTTAACAGACTGTCCTAAGATCCCAGAAAGTTTGCTGAGGAGTTCTGAACGGTAGAAGTTATGTAAAGGGCAGTGTAATAGGTAATGAGTAACTGTTTCGTATTGACACCCGTACATGTTTTAAAAAGTCAATAATGAAACATTAACGCATGACTTTGACGGGATGATTAAAGTCTAAAAGTTTAAACAACCAGCCGTCTGGTGCCCGGTCATCAAGGTCAAGGGGTCAGTAATAGAGTTGGTTTTAACAGGAGATCACGTACTGAAGATTGACTTTGAACTTATATTAGATTTTTAAGCACGTGAGGTCGGTTTTAAGCACATAGACATTGGCGGAGAGAAAACATACTGGCGGTCACACGTTTTTTCACAAATGAGCCCATTACATTTTTCACATTTTAAAAAGTGAGTTTTCTTGGCCATTCACGGAAAATGTGAAAAAAAAGTGACGCAAAATTCTAAAATTCTTGCACATAAAGGTGTCGCGCTCCAGGAATGTTATTCTATGTGATTTCCTGTCTACTTATGTGATAAAATTTGATGCTGTTGAACCGCAATGTTTTCACATTTTGTCACATTTATCAGCATTTTATGGCAAATTCACATACTTTTCACATTTATAAACCTAGTAGCGAAATGCTGCACGTCCAAAAGGCTAGAAAAGACAGTTGAGTAAGCCCTAGCCTGACTAAATCGCGCTCCTGGCGGCCGCCGCCCTAGGTTGCCGCCCCCCAAAAGCTTGATGTCAAGCACGCGTAAAGCTGGCGGTGTGTCGACGGCCCTGGTCTGCCATATATGGTTAATGAGATGCAAACGTCACGAACGGCCCTCAGACGGTGCGGCACCCAACAGAGATGGTTGCTATGGGCCTGTCGGTCGCTAACCAGTGATGGACGTCGGCGCGCCTTTCATGTCCCAAAATTGAAGTTTGGCCGAGGAAGGCGCGGCCACCCGCTCGCGAGTCGAATCTGTTTCTATTTCCCAAAGTTTCTGGAACTTCCTCGTGGGAAATGGGAGTCACACCGAGAGAAAAGAATCTCATCCACGGATTTGTATTTACGTCACGATTTTCACTCGGCTATGTCCACATTTCGCATCTCTGATTAGTTGTAGCGTCCGCTTCCGGCAGCGCCGGCGGTATTGAAGATTGACCGAGCCGACGCGCGTGTAAACAACTTTTCTTTCTTCGATATAAGCGCTAAAATGCTATTTTCCACAACCACACATCGATATTCTAGTGAAGAAATGCATAGTTTCAAGAATCAGTCGGGAAATTATTGCGGATTTTTAGCGTTTTTTGCGTCATTTTGTCGTCGCTGAACCCGGAAGTGTGGACCTCGCCCTCGGCGTGAGTTTTCTTTTACCCACAAAGTAATTAATGTCTAGCGTATTTTACCCTGCGTTTTACCGATCAAAACAATAAACAACTCCCGCTTAGGAGAACCCAGTAACATTTTAGATTCCAGCAATTAAGTATCGATAATTGTAAAGGAGTCAACATCGTCAACAAAGCACAAGAATGTCGTCAACCCGCCGTTTTCGTTTGCTCTGCACTGTTTCACGATCTCGGTCTTCTCATAGCCGGTAGGAAGACACGCAAACACGTCGTTTCTCTGTTTAACGAAAAATTTTATCGCATTTTCCTGAAGCGGCTCTAGGGGCCAGGGACTCCCAAAGTCCACACACACTGACTCCAGAATGCACAGAAACTCGGTTTCGGGCTAGTCGCAGCCATTTTTCTGAGAAATTCCCACCCGCAGTCGATCAAATTTTTCGTCCCCGCCCGGTACTCCGCCCTTCTCCGGCTGCCTGGCGCCGTACCACGTGATGGCCCGGTCGGTTCCCACATTAATTCCTAATACTGGCTTCCTATTGGTGACTCCAGGAAAGGGAACGGGCCGCCCGACTTACAGCTATTCTGCCACAAGCTCTTGGGGTGGGGGTCATTAACGTCCAGCCGAGAGCTTGTATACACAGGCTAAGTAAGCCCAGACGTCTACACAATTTCCCGGAGTCATATCAGTTTTAGAGCTGACGGCTGATCAAAAAGAACATGATCTCGATCCAGTTCCGGCTCACTAAAGACCTAATCTTCCACTGAAGTCTTTTACGCCTGAGTCTTAACAAATGCCCCATTGACTGATCAACTGAGAAAGAGCAACAGGATCTGGGGAGAGTTATGGAAATAATTTCCAAGTAAAAGCTCTTTGAAACGCAGAGGGCCAATATCTCTCCAAAAGAAGCCTTACTACATGTGGTGTACAGTCAGATTAACTGTCTGGTGACTAAAAGCAGCCCTCAAATTAAAGGAAATGAATAAAAAAACGTTTTAAATATCCACTTCCCTCCACTATCCCCATGTATAGTACCCTGCCAGGCACAGTTGTGACGGCTCCCACCGTTACGTCAACCTTAGCCAGGCTGGAGACCTGCCCGCTCTAGCCTGGAAACTTATCCCCCATACAGATAGTTATTGTGGAGGTTTACTAATATAATAACATAATCCTTCGCCTTTTTAAAACTATCTAAGCATACAAACAGTTAAGTGCGTAAAAAAAAACATTTCGAATCTGTGGTTTTAAAAAATTTAGAAAAGGTAATTTTCAAACTTACCCTTCCCAAAGTCGAAAATTATATCAAACATGTAGTTTTCCGCCCTCGAGGCGAACAGCTCGGACCTGTCCACGAGCGCGTCCTTGACGGCAGCGTAGCCGTTCAGAACCACCACATCTTCCATCCCCATCCTGACGGTGAAGACGTCCCCGTACTGCCGCCTCCACGCCGTCAGCTTTAGAGGAGGCTTCCGGCCCAACGCGAGGAGGTGCCCGAGAACAGGCACACGTCCTGCCGGGTAGGGAGGCAGGTTTAGTCGACGTTTTAGGAGGAAACGAGCCAGGAGAAAGGCCGTGCAGAAGACAAGACACGTCTGCAGAGTCAGACCGGAGATCTGCAGTATCTCCTGCACAGACCCAGGTATCCAGATGTCGAATACCACAGCCATTTTAGAAACTATATTAAGGAAGGATGCCAAGACTCTCGTCAAGGACAGAGCATAGTGGAGGAGGCTTGCTGCCCAATGTGCTATGCACGAGAGGAACTAAGTCTAAGTAAGTAAGTCTAATTAAATAACACTAACCCGTGGCTTTCACGGGGTGATCAAAGTCTAAAACTTCAAACAAACCAGCAGTTCAATGTGAAGTCTTTACCCCGATCATCAGGGGAGGACCAGTAACTGAGTCGGATGGTTTGGGAGGGCTGGGACCGAGGGTGATGAGGAATACACCGTGTTGTATTTTATTCATGTCATACCCACCCAATAAAACACGCCTTTCAGCTAAAAACTAGGTGTCCCTAAACCCAACAAATGCAGAAACATCAATTCCAACGTCCGAATTTTGTATTCGAATTTCGAAAGCGGTGCATGCGGTTAGGGCGAAACGCGTTTGAATCGTTCTATGGAACATTTGGAAGCCCGGGCCGTACGCGTTAAGAACCGGGCCGTACCGCTAGTTATCACACGGGCCGGAACACCCGTATCGAACGTAATCGCGGCCCAGGTATGACAAAAATATATCCATACGCCATCGGCGTGCTGTGAAACCCTAACATGGCCCGGAAGCTCCTCCAGATGTACTCTCCAAGCTCTTGGTCATGTGTGACGTAAACGTCAGCGGAAATGGCGTCACAGACGATGGTCATGAGGAAGTTCATCAGGAGGATGAAGATGCAGATCATGAAGGAAGAGAAGAAGATCGGCCCGGTGAGAGGGTTGGAATCCAACATGTCTTGGGCGAGGAACCTAGAACCATAACCTACAGGGATTCATTGCAAGACAATGCCTTTCATGGAACCACCTGCTTAGGCGTTATAAAATGTGTTTCGTTATCAAATGATCATTACATACGTCTTAGTGAAACTAACCTGCCAAGCATCATCTCGAAGAGTGCAAACGTTGTGTGGTACAGGTCTGCGTAAGACTCTATGTGGACTGCAAGCAAAATCCTTCCTTTAAAACCCGAGGAAGCCGACTTTTAATATCGTATGTAATGTTATAAATGTTAATCAGGAATCTTTGGAGACTGGAAGAAAGTCTCCATAAGAACAGAATAAAGACTGATGCGAGAATAAGCTAGGGGGGATCTACTGCATTTTGTCGGTCTCGTAACACCATGAAGATATTAATTTACTTAGCCTCCTCATCCCTTGCGACAAGACATATTAAGGGCCGCGACTTCTTCCATATGGGTCTGTCCTCGGTCAACTTTCTTGCTGATCGCCAGAATAACCTTAGACGCCAGGTCACCCGACGCAGTTCTTCTCCGAGTAGTTTTAGGTCTACCTCTTTTCCTTTTACCATCGCGTCTCCAATTTAAGGCCTTTTTTTGTGAACTCTATTGTCATCCATATTTATAACATGGCTAAGCTATTTTCATCCTCTGTTGGAAAGTCGTCTAGGGGTGGTTTTCCTATAGAGTTCCAAATACATTAGTAGTGAAGGTAAATTTTAGCTGATTTTGGTCTTTGCTAGAAAAGCTACTTTTAGAAAATACAAACATCATTTTTTGACGTTGAAACTGGAATAGAATGTTGTAAAAATAGAGTTCTCAAAAATTCTTATCTGACAGTAAATGGAGTTTTACACACCGAAGTCTTTTATTAAGCCGACGTTTCGGTGACCGCCTGTCACCTTCTTCGGGGCAATTTTGAGTGGTTCACATTGCACTGCAGCACAGGTGTCGCTGCTATAGATGCTTTCCCAAATGTACAATATCAACACGTCTACACAATGTGCTTAATTACAGGGAAATGTATCTACAATGCGGTCTATAGCAGGGACACCTGTGCTGCTGTGCAATGTGAACCAGTCATAATTGCCCTGAGGAAGGTGACAGACGGTCACCAAAACGTCGGCTGAATAGAAGACTTGGTTGTGTAACAAGAGTCCCTTTACTCAGTGACTTACCAACCTAATAAAACTATTCACAGTATATGTTTTATTTCATTATGATATAGTGGTCAACTATCATTTACCAATTTTGTACGTGTGGTGCCGCGTATGATTTTTGAGACATTATTAAGGAAATTTCGTGAATGGCTTCGTCAGGTTGCTAAGACACTGAGTGAAGAGACTCTTGCTACACAACCGAGTCTGTCACCTTCCTGTCTGTCACCTTATGAAGAAAATCGTCACGTATTCACCTCATCTAGCCAGTTTTAGTATTTTGTCTTTTTTCTTATCTTCCTTCTCCTTGTCTTTATTGAAATTGCACCAAGACAATACAAATGCTGGCACTAGGCAGCTACCACATATACCATGTATGTCATAACGGGCAAACACAAAATAAATACAATCAAATAACGATAAATAGCACCAGATATATCGAATACAAAATAGATATTTTGTCGAGAACCAAAGACGTGGGAGGGGGGTCTTGGGCGTCTTTACTGAATGTGTATACTGCAGAGTTGGAGCATGCGCACATTTTGTAAAAACCACGTGATTACATTGAGAGTTCTCTCCACGAGTGAATAGATTTGTTTGATGTTTCCCAGATTACTTCTTTTTCCACGAAAATAAGTCTGGCTCTTGCAGAAAAACAAAATGCTATTGCATCACCTCATACCACGTCATTCTTCCAAATAAGGGTGAAGGTAACCATACTTAGTCAGACCAATGAAGGTTTTATTTGCTATATTCATTAATTTTGTTTTACAGTTATACACTGCGCAACAATACAGTGTGCACATTACGGTCGAAATGAAAAGGCAGGGAAAGGCTGTCCGGCCGCCTGTCTCCGGTCCCAACAGCCGCCAAACCAACGGGCTGTCGTCCCAACCCCATCCCGTCCAGCAGAGTGGTTCACGCGGGCGTGTCCGCCACGGCAACGGCGCGTCTGATCATGACAAGCAGCGGGAAGACCAGGACACGTCTTCACACACGTACGAAGACGTCGATGGGTTGGAACGTCACGCAACGTCTGCAGGTAAAGAACTGGCCTTTTACAGTGAATATTTAATAGAATCAGGAAAAAAGAATTTATGTAGAAAGAGTATATGATCACTAACTAACTGACTATTGCATACTTTGCTGTGAGCGTATATTCAATGACAACAAGAATCCCTTTAATCTTTGCTGTACGCCCCGCATGTAAAATCCATCAGCAGGATACGCGAACGTTCCCGGTAGGCATTTGGTGCGATGGATTTTTTCAGCTTCTGATATCAGCTCTGCAAAAATATAGTCATTATTATTAGGTTGGAAGTCTATCTTTTTTCTTACGTGCCCGAAAAATGAGGGTATTATCGTGGATGTATGTGCGTGTGTATTTGTGGTCTATAACTTAAGAAGGCCTGGATGGATTGTGATGATATCTGCTGATTGTCCTTCGGTAAGGATTTTATTTTTTTTCCTCCTATATTATATTTCTTTTATTTCCAACGGAAACCTGCCTACCAAAAATCACTGAATCATGCCTTCAAGAGTTGTGCGGCCTAGTATCCAACACTATATATAACAAGGCGATTTTATAGTCGTCAAGACAAAGGCAATTACTTCACCTTTAGGCGAAGACAAACACCCTATCTTCCTTTACGAATTTGTTTCTTTATTTCTCTCAGGTGCCACACCCATGCGGCAGCCTGAGCCTTGTTGGCGACCAAGTGCTGACGCCGCTGCAGCAATGCTGAACCCTATGTACGCCTCCAATGCAGGTAAATCGTCTTCAGAGGTTATCATTTCCTTATCAAATTTTTACTAGTGTTGATTTTCCGCAGATGAACTTTCTTCACTTGTCCCAGGCACCACACCCATGCTGCAGCCTCAGTCAAAGCGATCACGTGGGGACAACGCTGCCAAAATACCGAACCCTATGTACGCCTCCAATGCAGGTAAATTGATTACAGTCTTTATTTCATTTTTCTACCTTCTATTTAACGCCTCAAATTATCTACGGATGGTTGCACTTAAATTTATTTTGTTTTCTTTTTATTCTTTAGGCGCCACACGTATGCGGCAGCCTCTGTCATATTTGCAATCACTTGCGAACGCCGCTTCGAAAATGTTCAACCTTATGTACGCCTTTAGCTCAGGTAAATCGTTTATAGTCCCTATCTTGTTCGTTTTGTATGTTCAAGGCCCAATATTTTTCACAAATGACTTTATTACTTTGTTTTTTTCCGCTCAGCAGACCCACCCATGGACCAACCCAAGACTGATAACCAGGCACGTGCGAACGACGCTGAAAACACACCCGAAGTCACGTACGCCACCATACCAGGTAAAACGTTTTAAGTTTCTTCCATTTCTTGTATCCCGTTTTTGTTATTGCTTGGTGATTGCGACCTCACTAAAGCTGAGTGATTTTTTTAAGAAGTTACCGTGATTGACCTGTGATACATTTCGCATACTTGGGCAGGTTATTGTTGAAAACGATATTTGTTAAGATATTTTCACAGTAATGTACCAAAAACTTTTTTTTTTCTTCCAGACGACCCACCCATGGACCAGCCCCAGACTGATAACCCGTCACGTGCGAACGGAGATGAAAACACACCTGGCGCCGAGAACGTTCTCCATTACCAGGTAAAATGTTTTCAGTTTTTTCTCTATTCTTGCATCATGTTTTTTTTTTTCATTTCAATAAATTGACTAATAATTCATTACATCTTTGTTTCGCCCAGTCGACCCACCCATGGACCAGCCCCAGTCTAATTACCAGGCACGTGCGAACAACATCGAAAACACACCCGACGACACGCAGGCCACCATATCAGGTAAAACGTATTAAATTTGCATAATTAATAAGGAAATAATTTCGTATCATTACTTTTTATAGTTAAGCACATGTACAGTAATGTAAGAAAATTTGAATACTGGTAATTTTCATTAATTGTCCAAAACCTTGCTTCATTTGTTTCGGCCCGCTACCTTTGACACAGACACGTGGTAATCCATTCGCCTTGACGGCACACGGGTGCCAGACGCTTGTTTTGGTTCTCCTTTCACCCACCACCACCCCTTCGTCCACCTATTGTTTATTGTGTTGTTTTTGCAAGACCATATAGACTATTACTTTGCTGGGTGTTTGTTTCGGAAAAGTCACCTATTAAAAACTTTTCCAATTTTTATGGCCAAACTGTGTTAGATTCTGTTCTATGCTTCCTAGTTTTGGATGACAATTTGTTGCAGGTGGAACATTAACAGGCATCAATTATGCAAATGCGGAACTGATTTGCACTATTTTCCCTACTGGTAAATTTTGGGTATTTCATACTCGTGACTTGTTTATTTGTGTTCAAACTGAGCATCACTATGCGCAAATTTGGACGTTAACAATAACCCGAGCGAAGTATGTTTTTTCCTACCAGGTGGGGCGAGCGGCCGCCGTGGTGTCTGTAGCTTCCTCCGCGCCCACTGCAGCTGGCTGGCCGCCGGCATCGCCGTGCTACTGAGCTTGTGCGCCGTGGGACTCGCCCCTCTGACGTTCAGCAACAAACAGGTAACATTCTACTACCGCAAATCTGGGTGATCAGCTGTTTTCTTATTTTCTTTCTGTTTTCAGGAGGGTAAAGAAATACATTTGTACTTTTCTTTCAGTTTTTTGTAAGTTGGCTTCTTCAGTCCGGTATTCTGACGTGCAAAAATTCGTTTGTAGGAAATATCGCAATTGTCTAAAACTGTGAAACGCGACTTGCGTCAACTGGCTATCATTGTTGACGCCTTAAAATGCGATCAAGACAACAAGCACCAACTGGTTACCACTGTCGACGCCTTGAAGCGCGACCAAGACGGTATGTCCACCACTGTTGATGCCTTGAAGCGCAACCAAGACGACATGTCCACCACTGTTGACGACTTAAAACGCGATCTGGACAACGAGCGAAACGGAATGGCCACTTTGCAACAGCGTCTTCACGTGATTGAGAAGATTTTACGTAATTATGAATTTGCGTTTTAATCTGTTATGTTTGATCTTTATCATGTTCAATTTGCCAACAGCTGCTAACATCACTAGTTTACAAGCATGTTATATGTGATACCATTACACCGCGTGTGGGAGGGGGTTGCTTTTATAAAATACAGCGTTTAACTGTGTCATATAGGATATTTGGTATTGAATACAGCCCTGAGAGTATATTAATTGCTGATAAAGGGTATATTGGGTGTATGTCATGATTTTCAACATGACCTATCCTTGCCTGTTGCTGATACAAAACTTGTTTTTCAGTATCTTGTCCCGAAGGTTACACAATGTGGCGTGGGACCTGCCACAAGGCCTTCGACACACGCAAGACCTTCAGCAACGCGACCGCAGCCTGTCGTGCAGACGGCGGCACCCTTGCCATGCCCCGAGACGCCGAGACCAACGCCTTCCTCATCTCCCTGTACAGGTCTGTGAGGGCCAAAAGGCACTTCTGGTTCGGCCTGCATGATCAGCGTGAAGAGGGAAAGTTTGAGTGGGTGGACGGTTCTGCACTTGGGCCGTACAGCTCATGGGGTCCGGGAGAACCGGACAGTCGTTTGGGCCAAGATTGCGTCCTTTACGCCACATCCCCTAAAGCATACACAGACAAGTGGAACGACTTTGAATGCCACGATCCGTATCGCTTCATATGCCAGGCTGCTCCAGGTACTTATTGTATCATAACTATTTCCTGCCTGAAACCCTTCTATCTAGTTTTTGCCACCATTAGTTATCCCTACCTAGACCGGGGGGGGGGAGGGGGTAACGTAA